AATTTCTTGAGACAACGATAAATCAGCGAGCGTTAACAAGAAAATATTTTAACCTGCAGCGCCATCTGTTGAACATTACAGCAACATCTGTTCAACAGATGGCGCTGCAGTGTTATTTCATATTTCCTTAACGCTCGCGGATTTAGCTTGGTCTCAAGTAATTAACTTTCTGCGTGACATCAAGCGCGGTCGTGGGTACAGTCCCATGCTTCGCCATCTGTGGAGTAATGTTCAACAAATGGCGCTTTTTATTATTTCATATGAATACTATGGAAGCGGTCCTATACTTCGCCATCTGTGGAGTAATGGTCAACAGGTGGCTCTCCTTTTTATTTCATATAAATATGAATACTATGGAAGCGTGGGACTTCATCCTCCCCCTCTCTTGTGGTCCCGCAGAAAGTGAATAACTTGAGATCAAGTTAAATAAGCGGAAGTTAACAAGAAAATATTTTAAACTGTAGCGCCATCTGTTGAACAGTACTCCACAAGTGATTAACTTTCTGCGTGATTATAAGGGTGGAGCCCCCACGCTTCAACCCTCAGTACCTCCTGCCCTACTCTACCCACAGTTGTTAAATAACTGTAGCGCCGTCTGTGGACTTAAACCTTATGGAAAGCCACGAAATGTACTTAAAATGTAGCATCTTAGTATCTTATTGGGCTGTGCAAACCGTTCCTCTGAAGAATTCATTTTACAGGGTAGGGCAGGAGGCAATGAGGGTTGAAGCGTGGGGGCTCCACCCTTATAGTCACGCAGAAAGTTAATCACTTGTGGAGTAATGTTCAACAGATGGCGCTACAGTTTAAAATATTTTCTTGTTAACTTTCGCTTATTTAGCTTGATCTCAAGTTATTCACTTTCTGCGGGACCACAAGAGAGGGTGAGGATGAAGTCCCACGCTTCCATAGTATTCATATTTATATGAAATAAAAAGGAGAGCCACCTGTTGACCATTACTCCACAGATGGCGAAGTATAGGACCGCTTCCATAGTATTCATATGAAATAATAAAAAGCGCCATTTGTTGAACATTACTCCACAGATGGCGAAGCATGGGACTGTACCCACGACCGCGCTTGATGTCACGCAGAAAGTTAATTACTTGAGACCAAGCTAAATCCGCGAGCGTTAAGGAAATATGAAATAACACTGCAGCGCCATCTGTTGAACAGATGTTGCTGTAATGTTCAACAGATGGCTCTGCAGGTTAAAATATTTTCTTGTTAACGCTCGCTGA